ATTCATTTGGATTCAACATGCAAGGCTTTTGTCTGTAACTCAAAGTACTTCAGAACACTTAGTTGCAATTCTTAAACATTACTGTTATGCTCTACACTTGCACTTGGATTCCAGAGTCTTATGGTGCTCTGTAAAGGATGCTAAATTACACCTTTTACTTTCAGCACCCAAAGGCAGAACTGACCCATTTCGAATGCATGCGATTATTGTAAACACACCAGAAATGGAGGAAAAGCAGACACTTAGTCTCCATATGATGACTGAGCTCAACCAGCTCCATCACAGGTGCACTGGTAGCCTGTCTACACAAGAGTCCGGGCGTACCTGTGATAGGTCACTATTGGCATTATGTGATTAATATACTTTGGCGTGTGACCTGAACGACTGCTCCAAATCCTCAACTTGAAATGACGATTTTCAAACTACCATCAACCTTCAGCCAACGGCCAAGAAATCTATTTTGTAAAGCCAAGAGGAAACGAATATTCTTGTACTGGAATTTATTGCAGGCCTGTTCACTGTCAGAAACTGCTCTAACAGAGAGAGGTATAGCCAGATCACACTGTGCTAGTGAAGAATCCGAGAAAGCGCGAGGAGATCCATTCTCATTTCCAAAAGACGTCTGACTTCCTCCTTGCCGCCCCCATTTCCCATTTCCTGAGAGTTTTCTTCTTTTTTTTTTTGTGTGTGTTTTATGGCTTATCTTTTGTTAGTTTGTTTGGATCAAAACTCAACAAGCGTTGTGAGCTACTAATCACAGAATCACACTGTTGGCTGGGATTTGCCCACACAGAATCCTGCTTTGTGCTCATTGCTTGCCACAATAGGTTCCAGCTCTCGTGCAACCCTGTATTGGATAAAATGGTTAGAGAATTAATGGATGGATGGATAAAATTCTTTAGACCCAGCTTCCACAAACAGCATGGATGTCAATAAGATCGCTGTGACTGCGGACTTCGAAAACACGATCCTGAAGGACAGCACTACTAGCATGAAAACAGGAGATGGATAACTGCTGGGGCTGCATACTGTCCACTAGAACTGAAACGAAACTGTCCAAACTTACACTGAAGAATAAAATTCTACTAACCACATGAAAAAATAAGTGCACCATCACATGTTATCTTTGCTGGTGTGCCTCCTGGCTGTGATCAGAATAGGACAATCTCTCTGGCTGAATGAGTCAACACAGGAACAACCAGCATTAGAAGACAGAAGACTTTAGGTTTTACCAATATTTCCCCAATGAAAGGAAACAACACTTTGGTGGACTCTCTCAAAACAGGGTTGTGCTGATGGTGCGTGCATCAACACTGAGATGCACTCGGATGGTCTAGTGTGCACTACAACACACTGCAAGCACCAACACGTTTGTGCGTCTCGGCTGAAGGACTGCGTGTACCGAGAGTGTTTGAAAAGTCAGTATTCAACAGCAATAGGAATGCAGCCTGGGCTGCTAAAGACAGCGCAAAGGTGTGTTGCCACACCCCTCTTTACTGATACGGAGCCAATCCCCAAGGTTGCTGAACAGTTGGAAGGTTTACAATGAATTACAGACCAAATATTTCCTTGCAAAGAAATGTGACTATACTGGATGACAGTGCGCTGTCAGGCTGGCGACACCATAAAGTTTCACTGCCACGCCGATGATTACAGCCAGTAAATCGTCTCGCACCGCCAATACAGACAGCTTACTCTTCTGAAACGCTCAGCAATTTAATGCAGTTTTGCAACTGCCTACAACAAAGAGATCCCGCTGATTGACTGCAACCACCAAAGAAAAGGACATTTGTCAAGATCTTTATAGACGAATCTGCAAAGCGATCACATAAAGGACAGCTTATGTAACGTCTTGAACGTTTTACTTTCCCTTGTGACAAGGACCAGGTGTCTAAAGCGAAGGTCATCCACAGTCCCTGGCACAATCTCACTTTCATTCCTTTCTGTTCACTTTGCTGTGCAGTGCCTGGCTGGCAGCCATTTAAGAGTATTATCACGATTCACCACGCCGTTCTAATCCAGGTGAAAACACATCAATGTTAAATGTTTAATGACCGAGATGTGAAAGTTGCCAGCGCTTAAAATGTAGACACAGTTCCCAATGTGGGTGAGATGTCTGATGAAGACAGAATGGGGTTTCTCAAGGGTTTGTCTGGGCTAGGCAAACTGAGACCTGCCTGGCTGACACAGGAATAAGCAATAACCTACATGCAGGAAGGGACTCTTGCCTCTGTGCAGGTCCACTTCAAGTCCACTTGGACAGGGCGAACTCGCTACAGAGCAGCTCAAAGCATGTTCCAATTGCCTCAGACAAAACCCCACAGATCTGAACTGGTTTAGGCGACTTTAGCTCATGAAGACGATCGTGCACATTCTGAAAGGTTACGTGGTGTATCATTAGAAAACTACATGGGATCCCATCATTTCCTTCTTCCTGGAACCAAACCAATGATATTAAAACAGTTAACAACAGCAAAGCTCCACAAATGAGAAGTTGAAGCGAGCAGTAGTACTGCATTTCAACACACGAGTTATCAGCACTTGCATTGCTTGAGAAGAATCTGCACAATAAATGGGAATACAACTGCTTCATAAGGTAACGTAATGGTATTTGACGCGGAGTCAAACTCACCCAGAGATACAACGGACCAAGTCTGACCTCTGTTCTTGCGACTACAGCTTGTGCAGTGCAGGACTGCGGCCCGGCTTAATAACGTCCCTGCCTCTTTAACACGAGGAGGTAGAGCAGCACTGAACATTGTTGATCACTGATAATGATGACAGCACTGTCATCAAAGAGAAAACAGGCGACAGTAGCACTCTGCAGCGAAACAGGAAATTTAAAGGTGACGTCGCATATTCATCCAGCATGAACCGATACCAGCCCTAACGCCTTCTCCAACCCCCCTGTAGGCACGCACAAAGAAGCACCTGGACTGGTTTTAAAAACACTGGTCATCTGTAGTGCCAAATGCTTCTTTTCAAAGTGTGAAGTCACTGTGCTACTGGACTCTCGTATGAAGCCACAATCCACACACATCCCGAGCTTCCCCCCATGGCAGGGGATCTCAATTGTGCTCTTGCAGGCTCACACCCAACTCATAATTAAACACTTAATTGACTTGCTAACAGAATTAATTCGAGCCACGTGGCTGTGTTTCGCCTCTTAAACATGTTGGGATTTGCCTTTTAAAGATGGAGGTTTTAAAAGTAAAACAAAATGCCAGGCTTCAGCACAGAAGACAAAAAGTCAGCAAATATTGAAACCAAGCGCTAGATATTGGTTCAATGAAGGAGTCAATAAGGTGTTGAGGCTGAGCTGAGAAACCCAGCAGGACTTTGGACCTCTGGGATAAGGGACTCCAGACCTGGGAAATGAGGGGTCAGTTCAAAACACAATCTCTGAGACACAAGAGCCCAAATGACTGGGGGGGGGGGATAGGTTGGGGAAGCCAATTAAAACAAAATACACAACATCAGGCTCATAAAATGAATATGCTTATTCAGCAAATCAAAAGTCAAACTATGGCATCACAAAGCTCACAAAAAGTCAAATTCCTTCAACTTCCTTCCCGATAAACGTAGTTACAGCTATGTAGCACATTACATGTAACGCGACATTTGTGGAAACGCATACAAGGGCACTGAGCTCCAAGCAGGGGGGGGTCGCCTACATTTTTGCAAAGTGTTACCACTCCGCAGAATTAACTTAATTAGCAAGCGAGGGAGGGAACAGGCAGGCCGCAGAGCAACAGTGCAAAGCAAACAAAACCCCCCCAAAAAAGGAGCGAGAGATCCTCACCACCTCCATAGCCACTCTCCCCCGATTGTTGCTACCGGCCCCCGAGACCCCGGCAAGACAAAGCCGGGGCGCCCCCAAGCAGGCAGGGGGCCGCATCTGTCACGCACGGCTCAGACAAAAGGCACGGATTTGCCACGGCCACGGGTGTGCCCCAGAAACCATCGACGGGGGATAAAAACACATTGGAGGTTGTTTGGCGTCAGAAACCCAAATCTTCTCCCTGTAGAGCACTCGAGTACAGCAATAATTCCGCTTTCATGCAAGGCTACCGGCCTTACTGTCAGTATGACGGGCACCAACACCGCACTCAGCAACAGTGGGCATCTGTACAACACTCGCGAACAATAACCGCGAGGGCTGAGCCCACTTTCCATTTATTTACCACACTCGTACCCGTTTCGTAGTACTTTGCGTTCATCCAAGTCAGATAAAGATAGGCATCGCTCCCTTTTTTTTTTTTGATCAAAGGAATTTTAATCGTGTTCAATTACCAAACGACTTCCAATGAAGAAAGCCAAGCTCGGGCAAATACTGAAAACGAGAGAAATCCAACTCGCTGGCACTTGAATGACTTTCGCTGTAATTAAATATTTCTGATCCTATGCTGACATATGGGCTTTTCCTCATCAAATTACGACTGTTTTCTTCCTACCACTCTAAGAGGGTGATGACAACTACAGCCTGGTTATCCACAATGTGCATTAACATTTAGATGCAATGCACTTGTTAAAAGTAATATAAATGATAAAACGGCACGACATATCGATTAAATAAACTGGACTATACCGGGGACAGCGTATTGATTAACACACAGCTCGAAAGAAACACGAGGAAACAAAAGTTTTAAAGATACACAAGTCTTAATCCGAGTCTTCCCTCATATGTGCGCTTCCTCCTCGCACAACTAGCCAATAGCAATACATACTTAAGGCTATATATGTCGCTCGCTTTTTTTATTTTGGAAAAGTTTAAGAAATTATTTCTGGGAGCGACACTTCCGAGAGATTCGTGAGGCGGTGGATTGTCTCCCGAATCGGGTAAAATCTCCAACTCCAGCCGGAGGCTCGACAGGCCGCTCCTGTGTCTCAGCCGAGCTACAGAGCCAACTGGTACCGTTTGATGGAGATATCACTGTTGACATACCACAGAGATCTACGGCCCCCCTCCCGAAAAAAAATAAGGCAAAATCATAACTTACCATTCCTCGTTTTTTTTTTTTTATCCGAGTGGTAGTGATTGGGATTGGGAACTTATTCGTCGTTCCGTAACTTCAGAGGGATACGGGGGGAAAGACGGCTCACACGGGCGGCGCGGTCTCAACTTGGAGCGGTTATATCGGCGTGTCGCTCGGGTTTGTGTGTGTTGTTGTGAGCGTCTCCGGTTGCACTCGTCTGCCTCCGTGTGACACCCACATAATCCAACATGGCGGACAGACAGACACACTCACTCACTCAGGGAGGGGGCAGGCGGGGAAGGGTGTGACTGGCTCGCACAAGACGGGCAGCCTTCCTTTCTCCGCTTGCTCCCAACATTTCCACGCACGGTTCGCCACAGCCAGAGAAGCACCCAGAACAAGAGACACGGCAGGGTCTGATAGCACTTTTGTTTTTGCCGTTTATCAATGAAACCACATTAAAATACCGATTCCCCGAGACCGCAATAAGGGTAAATCCTTGAATCAGAATCGTGGACGTAAAATATTATCCCTAAATGGGCACGCAAATGGCAGTTTTTCCTCGCGTCTTTCGGACCTTAGAATGAAACTTGTTCACTATTTTCAAACCCGCGGCTATGTGGTTTTGGTTTCTCCAATCACTGCCTTGTGCGGCACAGACTCGCGAGTTATTTTAAACTTTTCATGTCGGGTCAGAAATCATTATAAATACGCATTAAATCGGCGAGCAGTGCTCAATTTGAAAGTTTGGACCCTTACCACTGCATCCCGCTGCAGGTAATGGAAAGCTTCAATAGTTACACACGATAGTTAGTGTTTTGATAAACTAATATTCTTACTAAAGTTCAGTACTTTCTTCAGCGAACAGAATATTGTAAATTGGCTGTGAAGTATCCCAGTTACATTTCTAAAGAATGACAGACTGACTCTAAATGGGCACAGGGTGACTTGGTCACTTCTACGGTTTCTGGAAACCACAGAAAATGTAAAACCACAGCCTCAGTACTGCATAAAATGGGAATAAAAGTGTTTCGGCGTATGGCATTTCCCACCAATACCACACAACTTTAACACCAGCATACAACATAAACGAAATAAACTGTTTCTTTCAGGACCATGCCCTGAAACGAGAATGTCCTCACCTTCTGTTTCTCAGGTTACGTGCCTGGATTTACAGTATGATGTAGGGCACAGGTAAATCGGGGTTGGTGATGTAATGTTTGCTCATATAAAAGTCACTCGTACCAGGAATGAACTTCGGCGGTCCATTTATGTGCGATTGTAACTGCAGCTGTGGGGCACTGCCCTGTGACAAGGACAGCTGAATTCGTGCAGGTTTACTATGCCTAGTGAGGTGTAGGCTCTACGAAGGACACATTGTGACAAGCCTGTGGTATTTCTGCTGAGGGATTTTGTGTGTGTGAGATTCCCAGAGGTTCTCCAGCCTGCGTAACCCTCTCGGAAGTCGACCCCCGACGCCCTCCCCCTTCCCGGAACTGACTTTAACGCAAAGCTGCCCCACTTTTAATGTCGTCTCCACCTTGTGCACCGACATTCCTCTTTCACAAGCCAACCCCGCATGACATCTTCTGAATGGGTGTCGCTGCGGATAAAAATAGCCAGAATAGTAACAAAATTAACCTCAACTCCCCCTTCTCTGCTCACGTTTCAGCCTGCGTCATTTCTTTAAAGGGCGTGTGAGCCTGCTTGCAGCTACAAGGGGTTTGCGGTGCTCAAGAATGATATTTGTTTGCAAGACAGAGGAACACAGCCCTTGACAGTTCTTTTGCAATCAATAAAGGATCGTTAAAACATGTAGGCTTTATAATAGTATACCGTTCGCTGATGAATCAGCGGAGAAATCAATCTAAAAGCAAACTAGGGTTACAGGCTGCCAGGTCAGGTCTCCCTGGGCTTCTCCTGGGAATGTAAGCGGCCCACAGTGTAAATCAGTGCCGACTGAGCCCTGCATGTGTGGGGATCTTTGCGTGCGAACTGTCCCTGAATCTACCGGGCCCTCAGGAACACAGAAAAACCAAGGTATCATTTCACCAGAGACGATTCCTAAGGATTTGATCCTGTTATTCCCTCTTGGAGGAGTGTCAGGCGTAAAGCTAACTGGAATTACGTAGCCTTCAGCCGCAGAGCTGGTGTTGCTTACTGAGCCGAGAGCCATCAAGACCACTAAAATAACGCTACCCGTGTGCAGGCTGGAGGTATGACCTTTACGTAACACCTGTGCAGCTTTGACTAACCCTTCTTCCTTCAGGTGTCGTGCTGAAACGCTTGCACTGGTAATGATCTCCACCTAGTGGCCGAGAAATGACACTATTGAGCGGCATACCACTGGGCTGTATTGATTTGACAGTTCGCTGTTCCTTAAAATTCAAGACACGTGGAACTAATGCTTAACTAAGAATACATTTAGGTTTGTTCCTTGTTTTACTGGGTCTGGTGACTTTTCTTTTTTCTCTTTCTTTCCTTTTACTGTGTGTATTACACATGTGCTGTTGTACAGTGCTTTGAGTTTCTTCACAAAACCAATAACAATAATAATAATAATAATAATTCGAACAATTTAATCATGTGTGATTAGTACAGCTGGTTTGTGATCTCAGGCTTTTCTTGTTATTCCATTAAGTGCAAGTCTGTATCTCTGCACTTCTGCCTGTGAAGACAGTCTTTACAGTCTGGTTGACTGCTTAAAAGAAAGAGATTACTTTTTCTCTGCAAGATCTGAGCTTATTCATTACATGGTCCATTAGGCCAGGAGGTAATCAGCTCAATTCTGCAGGTCCTACAGTCTGCATCATTTCTGACAATCCTTTTAAAACCAATAGATAACAGACCAAGGTAACAGAATTTTCTTGAATGAAGTTAGTAGCAGATCAGGTATTTATCAGGAGGTGAGAATGAAAACGACAGTGATTACATATGCCATGACCTTTGGGCTTCCTTGAATTATGTTTAATGGTTCTGTATTTTTTTTGAAAAAAAGAACATTCCTTTCAGTATTTCAGACTCATATCCTGTGCTTTACTGTGACTGGGTGTCAGGAAAGGAAGAGTCTATTGTTAGATATTTCCCTTTCTTTTGTCACCAGCACATTAATATAACAGCAAAGCAGGCATCCAGAGGGGTCTGTGATGTCACAGAAGATAAAGATCAGCATGCAACAGAGCTCGCTGCATTACCTGCCAGCACACATCTAACACCATGCTCATTCAAGGCCCCTCAGGACAATTCTGGATCGCTCAGATGACATCATGTACCTCCAGAAACTTTATTTACTGCATCTCTTGCAGAAAATGCATTCACAGCCATCTATGTTGGGGAAACAGGCAGGAGACTCGGAGACCGCTTCAGAGAACATGTCAGGGCTGTGAAGATTAAAGATCTCTCCAAGCCCATAGTGTCTCGTTCCACCTCAGACGGCCATGATCACACTGATCGCTCCGTCTGCGTTCTCTAAGGAGGGTTTCTTAACTCCTATAGCAGAAAGTACATCAGAAACTAAAATTATCCTGAAACGTGGTTCGCACCTTCCCTCTTCTCTCAACGGCAGACTTGTTTTTGTGTAATCTTCTCTATTCACATGCAGGTTTCGACTTCACCCCTCTCCTCACCTATCTCGACTTTGCACCACCTGAGAGGCCTCTCTGCCTCCCCCGTGCTCCCACCTCCTCCACTCTCCTGGCTTCTGTTCTCCTACTGTATAATCTTTGCTGTCTGCCCTGTCTTTCTCACACCCGAAACGTTGTGTTTCCTTTCTTCCCTTTTCAGCATGGAATAAACCTATTACTTGTTCCCGAGGATAAAGATCTGTGGATATCCTACTGAAGTGGCACTACTTAGCCACTACACATTTCAAGAAAAAAAAACCCCAATAAAATAAACATTTTTAAAATGCTCTCAAAGTTCATAAAATGGTTGTTTTTTGCAGTGATGCAAATGAGTAAAACCACAGAGCATACCATCTCCAAAAGCAATCTGGTGCCTTTCCCAAAACACAGAATGAGCTCTGTCTCACTAATAGCAACGTGCCTGGAGCCCTTGCTCAATGGAAATGCAGATTATTCTAATGGTCTAATGGGATACTTATCAGAAAAGAGGCAGCTCTAGAGACTACTTCACATGCAGCTGGAGAGATGAATCAAGCTCCTTACCAGATAATTTTAAGCATTTGAACTGTGTTATGCCATGCAGTAATCTCTACAGGAGTACAATTACATTATGCATTAGTTCGTACATTCTGTTTCCAATATTACAGCTGGCGAGCACAGGGTTCCAATCTTTACAGGTCTAGCCATCAGGAACCACTGAAGGCTGTCTGGCCATTATTGAAATAGATCTCCAGCCTACAGTCACAGAGCTCAGACAGATCCAGCAGACTAATCCTCTGCTGGACCTTCATTACAGTCACGTGCCTTAGAAATGCTAGAAATCTCCAAGGCATATGGAAGAAGGAATAAAAATAAATCCATAAAAATGCACTTTTCCTCACCTGATGGGGCATGTCAGAGTGCTTAATATTTTGGTTCATTTTTTGTTATAACAACAATTAAATGTTATAAACAACACACTCCGGAGAGAAAAATGATCTAATTCTCAAATTATTCTAATGAAATGTAACCCATAGGCACAACTTTTCTGCCTCAGTTTATTGTATGAACAAAGAGACTTGTACTCTGCAACTGTATTTTAGTCAGAGCTTATTATATACCGATCATCAAATGAAACAGTTTACACGTGTATGTTCTTTGAATGATAGAGAATGCATTTCCTTGTCCAAGCATTCCTCAACAAGCAAAAGGGGACAGAATCCCACAACACAAAGCCTTTGCAACCTCCTTTGTCAGTATACCTAATACTAAAAACAGAAGTAACATCGTGAATGTGTTTCATCTGTAAGTTTCCTTTTAACACTCAACATATTTTGCTGTTCTGTGTTGCAAAGAAGTGTTGGAATTTCCCCAGATTGACCAGAGGAGGGCGACATCTGCTGTCCCTCATCTTACTTCAGCTCTTATTGCTCCACCGCTGTGAGCACCTGCGTGCATGCACACCTGTGTCTCCCCTTCATCTTCCCAGGAGCGGCAGATTTACAATGCGGGGGAGAGACTGAAGGCCAGTCCGTGGTATGGGTGGTAACACTCATTTCAGAACGGCGAGTTCATCCCCAGCTTGGTGTCGAATTGAAGTTTCTGCCTCCTCTGATACCGCACCCTCATCCTACAACACAGCATGTGCACCAGTTAGCCCAGGATTGACCCAGGAGAACAAGACAAGCAACACAGACATCCCCAATACAGTGATACAGGAGCATTCCAAACTCTAGATGGATGGAAAAGACAAGTATTGGAGCAGGGTGGAAGGAAGTAATCTGTATTGTGTGATTTTTAACTAGGGAAGAATGTTTCCTGATTACCATCCAGATTTTTTTTGTTATTGATATCATTCAAGGCACAAAATAAGGGATCTAGCATCCCCAGGTGTGGATAAGCACATAATCACTTTACATTAGTGAAACAGGATAAATGCCTAAAACTCATCAGCTGGGTCCCTTTATTATCAGGTATTTCTGACAGCATATCCCTTTAACACACCAATGTGTTAGTGTAACAATAGGAGGGTAGCGTTAGGAGATGCAACACAAAGGCCCTTTGGACTGCGGTCCATGTTCTGCACTTGTGAGGTGACAGGACTTGCCTGATCTCATGCAGCTTCATGCCCTCGTTGATACACATTAGGGGCAGCAGCCACAGGAACCCCAGGAGCCAGGTGGCTGCTGGGATGTCAGAGAGGTCAAAGGTTAAATGGGCAGATGGATCTCTCCAAAGAAGATGGGTCCCTGTGGCTATGGAGACCTGGAGAGTGGGCCTGTCGCAAAAACAAATAATCAACCACAGTAAGTTTGAGATGATGTATCATCCCCTAACTAATGTCTGAAACGGCATCATTTTGAAAACAGAGAGATGTATTTCTAGAGTACCATACGCTCAATTCTGCACGTGAAACCTTTGAAATGTTCCCTTCTTTCTTTTTAATTTGACATATAACTTAAAAGGCCTCCTTTAGGGGACAGTTTAAGTCCCCTAAAACTGTCTAGCTGATTATAACAGATGCCATTTCCATAACAATTCCCATTGTAACAAGCAGTGTTATTTTAAATATTAATTAAAAAGTTATCACAGAACTAAAGGGATGGAGGATTTTCACTTGATGCACGAGTAGTGGTGAACAATGGGAGGAGGTGAGCCGTGTTGTGCATCTGGAGCTACTGAGCACTGTCACACCGGTGAGACTCACACAGCGACGAGGGCTGCACACCAGCACCGGTTACTCAGGGGGCTCTGTCTCCACAAGGGGTTGGAGCGATGTACGTGGCTGACCGACGTGCACACTGTAAAACAAAGCACGCTTACATTGTCATCTCACTGCAATGCAGAGCACATGCACAATGATACCACACTATGAAGAAGGTCTCCAATGCTTAAAACAAAACCGAGGTACAGAACACTAAAAGCACACACAGAGACATGCTCTTATGCTTCAGCTTTACTGCAACACTGGGTTCATGCACATTGTCACACTGTAGCACAGAGCCACAACCTGAGTTCACACAGAACAGATGTGCATGTCTCACTATAGCACCACTCTGTGCTCACATGCATTCAGCAAGATGAAAAAGGCAATAATCTTCTGGGCCAGGGCGAGTCCATCCAAGTGTTCTCTGAACCAATCAGGGGATGAGTCTGTGGAGTTCCTGCATTGGAGGAAAGGAGAAGATAGAAACAGTTCAGCACTCATTCCACACAACTCCCTCCCCTTCACCCTCTGCCCCTTACATTACAGTTAATGGGGAACCTGACTACATTCTCAAAATATTTGGTTTGATAATTGGTTGCAAAAAGTACGCAAACACCTTGTTGGTTCTCTGAACTGAAGTTCTCCACACCGTGGCACACCGCTGACAGCCCTGCACAGAGACGACTTACATTAGGAGAGCTGCCGGGTGGCAGAGATCAGCAGCCTCGTGGTTGATCTTCAGACAGAATCCGTGAAGCGTGAAGCCAAAACACGCCAGGTAGGTGCAGACAGTCAGGCCAAACTTCACCAGGAAATAGAAGACAAAGAACTGCTGGGTCTGGAAGAGACAGGGACAAAGGTAGTTTGCTCTTCAGTAAATCTGTGCTCTGCGGAACAGGAACTGGGTTAGTGACGCCATGCATTGTATCCATATAAGTTCTACTAATTGTTTCAGAATATAAAACGTTCTGTAATTTTAGTAATACAAAAAGAACTGATCAGCATATGAAACAGAAAAAGGCAAAGAACATTACTAATCCAGACTAATATACTAATTACCAATACTAAATATGAATGTAATGATTACTGATATTTTTAAGCACATTTCATCTGTCTTTTGCACAGCTGTTTAACCCTTTAATTCTCATCCCTCAGGCTCTCTCCTTCCCCCAGAGATTCTTCTTGCCTTCTTGGGCAGGAAGCGCAGGTTTTTCCCAGTGGGCACCTTCATGATCGAGCTGTCAGAGGGCTTCCCCAAGAGGGACACGCTGAGAAAAGAGAGGAGAGGCAAAAGAGTTATGAGAAAGAGGAAGAGGATGGCAGAGGGCACCTGTTTGAGGCAGGCACAGGACACAGCCTCATAGAGCACTGCTTCTCCACGGTTTGCAGCACTGTATATCCACCTTGTATGAGATTTTGGACAAAGACAGATATGCAACTATGTCTGTCCTAGAAAAAGGACATGGAAGACTTATTAACAAGCCTGGAGCCTGGGAAGTTTAGGAGTTCAGTACTATTGATGGCAGAGTATGAGAGGATGATTACCTACTAATATCAGGCTCCCCTCCTAAGGCAGTAATACTAGTAATACTATTACTATTAAGACCTGGGCCAGTTGAATCTGCAGTGGGTCTATTGAGAGAAGGGTTTATACAGGAGCACAAGAATATCAGCTTGTTACCTTTTGTGAACACAGAGCTATTTATGTGCATGCTGCTTAGTTGCTCGTTTACGGATACACCTTACCTGAGAAGGGGAAAGTAGAAACAGGAAAGGAGCAGCACATCGTTTGTGCCGAGAGGCGGTGGAAGCTGAAACACGCAGGCTAGGATCTGCACAGAGAGACACACTGAGCACAGTAGTCCTACCACATACACAGCGTAAGGAGGGACAGCACTGGACATCATGGGAGGACACCATGTCCTGCTTCACGACTGCAATGAAGAACAGTCTTCTCAAAGCACTGATAAGCACGGGGCGGTGTCTCTGTGGCTAAGGATCTGCGCCTGTGGCTGGAAGGTTGCCGGTTCATATCCCGTGGCTGGCAGAGGAATCTTACTCTGTTGGGCCCCCGAGCAAGTCCCTTAACCCAAGCTCCTCCAGGGGCACTGTATAAAAGGCTCATGGAGAGCAAGTTGAAGTATGTGAAAAGACAAATTCCTAATACAAGAAATTGTATATGGCCAATAAAGTGATATTATCTCATAAGCCCTAGAACAGGGATGTCCAATCCTGATCCCTCAGGGATAGAGCATCTGCAGGTTTATATTCCTGCTGAGCCCTTCACAATCTTTACCTCCTCATAACTGGCTTAATGAGAATAATTTAAAATAATCACATAACTATTCAGGTGCTCATGCCTTGAAGATGGCTGAAAAACCTACTAGGTAGCCCACTAGGACCATATCCAATTGGGAACTCCTGCTCTGAAAACCTCTGCTATACACCAGGATAATCAACAGTGAATGAAGTTTTCTAGTACTTGCAGATCCACACATGATAACTGATTTTGTGCTGTGTCACTGTCAGATCAGTCAAAGGCACAATGAAAAGAAACATCGAAGTCAATTTCTTCTATAAGAATCGCACAAAGTTTGGCGTGTGTCTGAACCATCACGGTAGGGGGGGAGGGGAGAAGCCAGCACTTGTCCCATGGACATTGTGGACACAAGCCCTTCAGACCCCAGCGCTGGCACGTCCTACTTGCCTGGATCAGGACCAGAGAGAGCTGGCACTGCAGCAGGAACAGGAAGCACTTCCTGATTCCAGAGGTGGTGTGCCGCGCCTTCTGGGAAGGAGAATACCATTACTACAACTGGACCAGCAATGGCCCTGTGTTGGAGAGTCCTGCAGAAAATGATTGTTGGGGATATGCTGATGCACACTAGAAATGCAGAAATCTAAGTCCTGAATTCCATCAATAGCTTGTCACGCACATATACAGTGTTGTTTACATTATATTTTTTAACACACATACTGTAAGAATAAATTGATTACAGATTGAAGGCAACTTTACTAAGCCGTGATAAATTAAGAACATAATAATGATTACAAAGGAGAGAAGGCCATTCAGTACAATACATTCAGTAGCTTATTTGTCCTAAGACACCATTGAGGCATTTGTTGAAGGAAGTCAGAGTATCAGATTCAACTTCATGGTTGAATAACGTGTTCCACACTCCCCCAGCCCACAGTGCCTCACAATATTGACTATGTTCTTGAGCCATCGGTTTTTCATTCCTATAAGCCACATGGGAATTTTCTATTTTCACAAAGGACAATGCGTGCTAGGATTACAATGGCACAACCTTGAGAAAATAAAGTTGAGTTCTTGACATCATAAGCTTTTTCTGCTAACTGACCATCTGTGTAACCAGATTACCAGTGCATATAAGCCAGTCTTTACCAGCTGGCTGCTGTTGTACAGGAAAAGTGGTAAAACATCCCACAGCAGTCTGTCCAGAGGCTGATCAGGCCTATGCATCAACACTACCAGGATTGAGTTAACATGCAGGGAAGTCTTTGATTTCTTTTTGCCTTTGCTGTGATTTTGTTTGATATCCATTCAAAATAGATCCTTTGGACATGAGTGTTGCGTTTTGTATCTGCATTGGTATAGGATACCTACTGTACATACAAATATATAAATTCTTAAGCTGATGTCTTAGAACAGAACTAGGAATGATGCAACATGAAAGTCAGACAAAACCACAAAGATTATGAGATACAGGGCACCTAGAAAGGAAATGCCTTGCATGTTACACAACAGATCATTGATATTTGATTGTTTTATTCTTGGTCAGTTTGCATCAGAGTGGACAGTGTCTGGGGTAACTTACTGGGATATTTACTCCCAAACATTTGTAATAACATAGGAAATATTGTGTTAGCAACAGTCTGACCTGCTTGATGAGTCGAATGATGGTGGTGTTGTCCTGGGAGCCCAGGTGAATGGTACAGGGCAGCCCACAGAGGGCGCCTGCGAGCTGAGCAGGCGAAAGTGGGGCTGACTTAGAGGCAGGTGGGCCCCTGGAAGTCGGGGGGGTAGATGTGTCATAATCAGACCAACAGCAGGAAGGAAGGAGCGGCTCCAGAGCGATACTGCAACACATGTGAAGCACAAAAAACACAGTTGGTCAGCCGTCACATTACTCCATGCTAGGGCTGCTTTTCGTACCATCCCAATCTCAGTTTTTGATATGACTGAATACTCAGAAGCAAACCATGCAGTGAATATTGTTGGGAAACAAAATGACAGTTTATTATAGTTCAGTTTCAGTTCCCTTTTCACCAACGGTTTGGAAACCAACACGTGATTGCTTTCAAAGCAAGCAGGCCCTGTGTATCGGTAGGAACAGCACCTCCTGCCGGCAGAGTTTACCTGATATCACTCTGGAGGAAGACAGCATTGTTGTTGATGTTCTGGCTGCTGCCCAGACAGCACACCACCTCCCCGTACTCCTGCATCACCTGCACCATCTCACACATTGCTGCAAGAAGACACCGAGTCAGAGGCTGACACGGCCAGACACCGACATTCCGAAGACCACCCAGCCTTGAAGACACACAGGTTTCAACACATCACCTACAAAACTAGGACAGGGCTAGTGTATGTATTTGGGTTTACAAGATGTTTGGGGATACGTCTGTAGCTTAAAGATTGAATCTCTCTGCCTCATGACTTGAGATGCGGAGCAGTTCGTATCGAAATGCAAGTAGAAATCCTGGAGATTTCTGTGCTATCTTGGTGGGCTGTGCAGGGCCTCCAGTCTTTTACAGAACCCACTGATTCCCATGTGCAGACGGGCAACAGATCACATCAGGCCCGACTGTAGCATGTGCATGAACAGGCCAGTAGTGTTTTGTTGTTGAGTTCATAATCGCCTATTGGCATCATTTTAGGGGACAGCCTTTGGGAACATAATATGGGGAACTGGGGGACAAAAAGGTGAAAATCCTGAATTGAAATAGGGGGAGCAGAGGACTGAAAGCTGCTGGGGTTCATCTTACTCTGAGGGGTGCAGTCTGTGAAAAGAGGCACCAGCAAGGGCACGTTGTCAATCTTTTCCAGATGGGGGCGCACATTCTCAATGCCCTTGGGAAGCTTTGCCTGGTATGAAAGAGAAAAAGACCTCTGAGATGAAGAGTGATAATTACACCATAAGGCAACTACAGAACTGCATGGACTCCCATTGTGTACTCATTGTGTTCCTGCTTTAAGACGCTGGGTGACTCATGTCTTTGTAAATGGTAGGATATTAAGACACTACAATAAAACCTCGGTATTTGCGAAGGTTAGGCAGCTTTCAAAAGGAGACTTTGCGAATGCCTTATGGGGAAAAATAGGGAATGATTCTGCAGCTCTTGAAAAAAAATCCATAGTAATATTTTTGTTATAAATGTTAAATACTTCAGACATAATATTAGTATTTATCAGCAGTAAGCATTTTTATGAAAATGTATACTGGAAACTTACAACAAAGCAGTGGATTCCCCCTATAATTCAAATTATTGCATGTGCAAACAAATACATTAGATCACTGTTATGACATTATAACTTTACTGTATTCCACTGTATACTCTTCATTCTTAGTAGAGCCAGTTTTCTTTTCTTGTTTTAATTATTATAAATGCAGTGTTACGGTACTGTAATAAGTTTTATTACAGCAAGGTAATAGCAAACAAGAAAGTACATAAACTGTACATCATTGCACCCACCATGAAAATGGAGATGTCTTGCACACGGGGGCTGGAACTAAAAGTGAGCTTGTTGGCCACCCCTGGACGGAGTGGAGTAAGGAGGGGCAGCAGTAGCCTCACCCCCTCCCCGTTCAGCCAACTCACTCTCCTGCTCCTGCGGTTTCTCCACATCGACGCACAGGAAGACACGCGAGAACTGAGACCGACACAAAGGGCTTGCGCGACCCACGAAGAGGCGCTTTTGGTCTGCAAATGTTGAGGAAGGGGTCGCCAATGATTTGGGGCGAAAAGGCAGGATCGCGAATATTGAGGCTTTTACTGTACCTCCACACAGCCAGTCCCCATCTCACCCTGTTCAGGTCCTCTAATAGGCAGGCCCCCTCACTGTCCAGGCCGCTGAAGGTGGTCTTCTCAGCTGGCCTCCCCTCCGCATCCAGAAGGCACTCCTCCTCCATATCTACAAGAAGATCCAGGAGGCCCAAGATACTTTTACTGCTGCAACCAACTACTTCTTCACCAAGTTTAGAAGCAGTGCAGCAAGCAGTTAAAGCGCTGTGCAGTGGTGTAGTGCCAGACTGAGTGGTTCTGTGGAGAACTGAAAGACAAGGTGGCTTTGTGGACAGCCTGGTGCACTGCACACAAGCCATAGCTGAGAGACCGTGACAGTGGAGGTAACACCTCCTCCAGAAACTCAAGCTGACTTGGCTCACCTTCCTCTCTCTCCACGACGGGTGAATCAGTGTCTCTCAGACTCTCGGTGTCAAGGGGGAAACGGTCGGACTGCAGGGAGATGTGACAGTTCCAGCCAGTCTCCAAACCCATCTTCTCTGCAAACACCTACGCAGAGACACAGCAGCCCTGAGCAACACTCTCTGCCTGGCCCAAACTCGGACTCAAACACATCCCTCGACATTATAATGAAGAAAGCGGTAGATGTGGTCCATTGATGTTTCACTTCTTGCACCACAGGACGTTTCCCTTGTCATTTGAGCCACATCGCTGCTTTTGGTGCCCCAGCAAGACCTGAGATGCTATCAACCTGATGTTTCCTCCATGGCAACTGACAGCAAGTTGTATGACACCCCCACTGTGCTTTTGGGGAAATCTAAGGGCTGTTGCAGCCTCCTGCTAAATTGCCTCATTTTCTAGGTCACAAGCGCTCGACTCTACAACTAAGTGCCAGCGCTGACTTCAGACACAGCATTAGAAAAAGTGTCTGTCGCTTCTATTGGTGTCTGCTCTGCGTACTGTGCATCCAAGCCGTACATTAGTGGAGGGTATTTCTAAAACTACTGAAATTTCAGATTCACCAGGTGAGGGCAGCACAGGCCTATAAAATAAGAGCAGGTTCAGTGTTCACACTCCACACTGGGGTCTTACCTTGCTCCTGACCTCCTCCTCCACGGAAAAGTAGACGAAGCGGATGCAGGCGCTGTCCAGCCCCGTGATGAGGCGCACCATGTCAGGGCGGGCCTGGTACTGGGAGGACACCAGCCCCAGGAAGATGTGCTGGTCCAGGGGGAGGTGGGGGCCATCCCTCTCTGGGGTGCTCTCACTGTCCACTCCTGCGCATCGGAGCAGAGCACACAAGCACCTCCCAGATACAGAGCACCACACTCCTTCACGTGCTCTCCACTATCATGCAGTTCCACTTCAGTCTATCGCTCTGCACCTACTCTTGCGGAGAGAAACCAGCTGTAATGGTTTAATGAAACCACATACAGTATGCATTGCTTTGACCTTTGATTGTTGACCCTACTCTGAATAAATAAATAAAACATGCATGCCTTGCTTCTGAAAATCCTATTATGGAATCTTACCTGTGAGGTGTGATCACTGTGGGAATCTGGAGCTCAGCGAAAGTCCTAGTGTGCAGTCCTACCGGTGAGGTGTGATCTGTGGGAATCTGGAGCTCACTGAAAGTCCTAGTGTGCAGTCTTACCCATGAGGTGTGATCTGTGGGAATCTTGAGCTCACTGAAAGTCCTAGTGTGCAGTCTTACCCATGAGGTGTGATCTGTGGGAATCCTGAGCTCAGCGAAAGTCCTAGTGTGCAGTCCTATCTGTGAGGTGTGATCACTGTGGGAATCTGGAGCTCAGTGAAAGTCCTAGTGTGCAGTCTTACCTTTGAGGTGTGATCTGTAGGAATCTGATGCTCCATGCATTATTACCTGTGGTGCAAGCATATGATCCATGGGGCAGCTCCACACACTTGCCATTGATTTCAGGGTCCAGAGGGTGCAGGAGGGGTTTGAATGACAGGGCTAAGCAGTGACCAGCCATGCAAGAGCGCTGGTAGAAATCAAGGGCCTTCTTCCTGCAGGTGCAGAGAAAAAGGCACTTTCACCTAGACCTGGCTCTTTGGATTGGTAGCTTTCAGTTGATTTGTTGCATTTGATTTGCTTAATATTGTGTAATGCGGATATTATATGCGAGGATTTTCAAACCCTGCATACAGTGGAACAATGCAGCAGTGGGAGTAACACAAAAAGGGTGAAAAGTGAAAACAAAAAGGCAAAAATAAAGGTGTACCACTTTGCATCACGACCTCCAGGCTGGGCTTACCCTATTTATTGGGGTCCAGCCTGGGAAAAAGAAGAGCCACCAGCACAGCGGGGACCAGACTGGACTGACCCTGTTAAGTGGGGTGCAGTCAGGCAAGAACACAACAAGAACTCTGTGTGTGAGGAAGGTGTGTGTGCCTGTCCAGTGTGCCTCTATAGGACCTGCCCAGCTGTGGCTCATCATCTAGGAGCCGGGACAGCTGGGACTACAAAGACGAGGCTCCGCCCCTTCTACCGGGGCTCCGCCTCCACAGTGGACACGCCCCCGTGTAACACCACAACAGTAAGTTTCCCCTTGGCTGACTTGTAATCAGTGAAGTGTGGTGAAGGCCAAAGCTGATCAGTCCTTAAATAGTAACGGAAGCACGTGCATTAAAAGTTGCCAGCCCAGACAGGTGAGAACACAAGAGGCTCAGGGTGGTACCTGTCAGTGTCGGTGAGGGGGCAGAGGTCTGTGCCATCCCAGAATTCAGTGCAGGCCGAAAGGACAGCATCAGCCGAACCGTACGAGAAGAGCTGCAGGCAGCCTGAAGAAATGAGCAGGTATCATGAAAGTCCCCCAGGCCAAGCTGAGCTAATCTCTGGAGGAAGGTACAGTACATAACCACTGGCCACAACAAACAGCTCTGAGGATAAAGGAGCAGCACCTGCCAGCTCTCAGCTCTAAGTAAGCCATCCTGTTCCAATCGGCTCCTGTGAAGCATGGGACGTTCACAGTTTAAGAGCCAAGCAGGAGCAAAACTGGACACACCAGAGGGTGTTAAATTGCAATCAGAACTCAAATATCCCAGGAAGCCTCTAAAGTCCTAGACTGAATTCCCCTTAGGTGATCTGTGTAAAGTGACGTGCCATGCATGCAATTACTTTGTCAATAATTCAGAGTTATACTGTAATAAAATTGATTTTTGCAAAAACAACATTGCACTACATGTTTTTAATTCTTGATTCGGGAATGTTATAAACTCGTTGCCCTTATTTTCTGGAAACATGGAAGACAAAACACATAACTGGGTGCGCCTTTTACTGCTTCATAGCGGCACTGCCTGTATGTGCTCGCAAATCTTACAGTACTCCCTGCTTCATTTACATATTTATTTTGTTTTCGCGTGGCACTTGTGCTGCCCTTACTCTGCCAGAGGGTTGTCATGCTCTTATTGTAGCTGTCATGTTATTGCTCCTCTGTTTTCTTGCGGTCATATCTATTGTCTCCTCTTGTACCTGCACTTTGTGAACGTGCTATGTCAGTTTGGGTATGAGCTCAACTGTATTTTGTGAAATAGTAATAATAATACCATAAAAGAAACCTGAACTAGAAAAGCAACCCAGAGCTTAACATGAGTCACATTTGAAAGAAGAGGCGTTCTTCCCGGGCTAAACAAGCATTCGGGTTCATGTAGCGTTCACTGTCAACGTCAAGGTGAAACTACAATCCACCACCAGACAGACACTTTATTGAACCCGTGAGGGAAATTGTAGAATTTGGTGCCTGGTGTCTGAGGAAGGGACTTGATTGTCAGTCAGGACACTATACACAAAGCTAGGTTCTTGCTTGCTCCTGGCAAGTATCTGTGTAATGGAAACGTTCTGTGAAGAAATAAGGGCATCTCTGTCTACCAGGAGCGCTGTTCCCAAAATATACACAACTTGCTCACTTCCTCCACCACCAGGCAAGATTTTCTTCCCACTCATATAAGTTCTGTGACCTTTTATCCCGGCCTCAGTGTCAGATAACGCAGGAGAGTTGCAAGAGTCGTAGTTTCTTCCTTAGACTTCACTGCCCCTGTGGTTTCAGCGTTGTAGCACACAACGATGTTGTGCTACAATTTTCCCCGGGGTAAAAATAATACCATATTGATCATACTCTTGAAGATTAAACCAGGGTAGCCTATGCTTTCCACACAAAAATACCACATATCAGTATCATGGTTTAATATTGTACTGTTTCTGTTAAAAAAATGGTGTTTGACGAGTCTGCATTATATCGTGAAGCTGTGTCTCAGCTTCCTCCTGCTGACTGGCTTGATCCCAGTAGAATCCAGCCAGCTGTCTTAGAGAGAAATATCTCCTGAATGCAGTTTCATCAGCAGAACTGAGTTGCAAAAGAAAGCTGCACAAAATGGACTGGCTCTACATTTCAGTGTTTCAGAGAATCTTTCAGAGCCTCGTGCTGTGGTGTCTCAGCTCAGGCCACTGACACCTCCACCGGCAGGGCAGTATTGAGACCAACACACCACTGCGTTCTCAGATCCTGGAACCTTTGGGAGCACACACACATGAAACGCATACTTTGGTGCAATAAAAGAAAAGGCAGATTTAAAGTCTAATAAAAACCAACGACATCATTGGAAAGCGACGGAGAGGTATAGTAAAAAAAGAATTATACAAACAAATGTGTCCCCCCAGAATAGTAAATGCAGTCAAAGAGGAAAATGTATGCTGTTCACTTTTAAAAGGGGTATTTCCATAGCTGTAAAAAAAGGAAGCGGTTTATTTTTACATTTCCAGTCTCTGTTTTTTGTTAAAAAATTACGGCATTCCGAGTCGAATTCCCATTTATTGTTTCAACGCGTTTCCCAGGCAATCCCAGGGGTGCTCTTGTGAGGGCATGAGAGAGGAACGGTGCCCTGCGTCCAGGCTGTTTCCCGGGCAGTGAGTCACAGGGCAGCACGCACGCAGACCCCAGCACAGGAAGCCTTGAAAACTGACCCTCACAGAGAGCAGTACTCTCCATGGGCTCCATAACGATACAGCCACAGCTGCTGCCTATAATACAGCTCCACGTGGTAGATTTTGTCTATTGTGACTCACGGTGCTGTCATCCGCATGGGGACCACATCTGTCAGCCTTGGTTCATTTTAACAGGAGCGGGCACTAACTTTGAGAGTTGAGACTGGGGTTAAGGCTACGTCTTGGATTAGGGTAAGAGTGGATTCTTGGAAGGGCAAACGCATCCAGAGCGGAACCCAAACTGACCTTATAGGTCTGAGTATGTGAAAGCACTGTGGCATTTTGGCCTCTTTATACAAAGACATGCCTGGGGTTAGTCCTTGTGAGCTGCCCATGATAGTTCAAAGCCAGTGTGGTGCAGAACAGCGCATTGCCGTGTAACACGGTGCAGACCTGTGTTTCCGTCGTGAACCGCCAGGCTGATGATTTGAGGGAAAGGCAGCCTCCTCAGGGCTAGGATCTGTGGTTGCCAGGGATAGGCATCCTGCACACGGGGGGCGTTGGGCAGAGTATAGGCTGCCATGCTCATCTGCTGCTGGAACGGCTCCTGCGCTGAAGGCCTGAACCCTGAGAGCACCACAGACAGGGAATCAGAACCGAGCAAACACTCACTCGCAGAGACGCACCACCCATACAGTGACCTGGGTTCCCAGTGTGGAGCTTGGCACAGCAGAGTCAGACAACCAAAAGAATATCTACACACCTCTGAACCAGACGTCCATACACAGGAAGAACACAGGACGCGCCGTTCAAAACCTGCATTTGCTTAAGTTCATTCTCAAATGCGAGGTTCAAAATGACTGTCAGTTAAGGAAATCACAGAGTATGCAAAGTTTGGTGAGTTAGTATAGTCTGGGTGTTTTACCAGTTGACTGATAACCAGATCACTCACCCTGAAAAAATTGTTTCATCGTTTTTGAGTAAGTATGATGGAAAGACTGAGTGGCAGACTTCGCAGATGCCTGTCTGATGCCCAACTGTAAATGTCTCATCTTTTATCTGTCATCTGAACAGGGTGAAAATGGAGACCTGAGGTTTCACACTGTGGGAGAAAAGTAAGATGGGGGGAGAGGTGCACGCAGAAATCTCTTCTCGACAGACCTGGGGAAGTGAGAAATGATCTTCCTGTGCCAACTGGCCTAAGAGAGATGCTTATGTCATCTGAGCAACGGCGCTTAGTTAACTCTTTCCATTGTGACACTTCTGCACGGCCTACCTCCTTTGTGTCACATGGATCATAAATGATTACTGTGAACAACAGCTATTAACTGACATCTTTTTTTTTCCAGCTCCCATCTTCTGAGAATTGACACTCTCCTATTTTAGCCTTTGTTCCAATTTTTCTACTGCACTGTTTTAAAAGCCATGCTCTTTATGTCATGTTGTACAGCCAGGGCAAGGTGATGTGAAAAGGACTTGCACAAACACATATACAGTATACTGAACTATAAACCTATAAACCTATACTGAAATGCACACAGGCACACATGCACACGTACAGATATGCACTCAGAGGCTCAACACAGACACACAAGCACACACATACATGCACACACAGGCACAGGAACAAGGAAAGCTAGATCAGCAGCCCTCTTGTGATTCATCCCCAGTGACCCATGGATCAGATGAGTCATCGGGGAAAGATACCGTCTTAACCAGAAGCGCTGAAACACAGTGTCTCTTCAGGAGGGGGAAAACAGCTGCTCTTAACTATGCAGGAGGAGGCAAAGCAAAGCAAAAACAACACATTAGAAAAATACAGTCAGTCTCATTGGATCTCTAGAACAGGATAGCAGCCAATGAAATGTGCAAAAAGGAAAATGAAATGAAATGTGTCCTGCAGTCTATTATTTAGTAAAACAGTGAGCATTTTTAAGCAAGCACGTGTGTTATCCAAAGTCACCATGTGTAGAAATATTACCTTCTTGGTGTCTAGTGACTGTTTGGCAGTGACCATAGCAAGCATTAAGCTATTTGCAATTCAGCAGCATCATTGATTGTGGACAGGGCATTTGGATTTATACCTAAGGCAATTCCATATGAAATGTATTGCAAAATTACAATGTTGACACTGATAAGGATTCTCAAGAGGGCTCGTGTGCATGGTGGGGATTTTTTCCAGGATTAAAAATACGGTGGGAACACAGAGTCCGTTATCACCAGGAAACAGGTGCCTGGACTGGTGGGTGCTATGGGAAGTGTGTTTTTGGAAACGAGTCCTGCACTGAAAGCACTTGCTGAGCTGCTTTCTCAAAGCGATGAAACACTTCTTACTGCACACCCTCAAACTGCAGTAAAGTGCCAACCTGCTCACTGCAAGTTGATATCAGGCATGCCATCTATATCCTGTGGGCCAGTTCACCCCATCTCACCCTCCAGCTTGTTTAAGATCAGGACAGCTCACACAGTTCACCCCATCTCACCCCATCTCACCCTGCAGCTTGTTTAAGGCCAGGACAGCTCACACAGTTCACCCCATCTTACCCCATCTCACCCTCCAGCTTGTTTAAGACCAGGACAGTTCACACAGTTCACCCCATCTCACTCTCCAGCTTGTTTAAGATCAGGACAACTCACACAGTTCACCCCATCTCACCCCATCTCACCCTCTAGCTTGTTTAAGACCAGGACAGCTCACACAGTTCACCCCATCTCACCCCAGCTCACCCCATCTCACCCTCCAGCTTGTTTAAGACCAGGACAGCTCACACAGTTCACCCCATCTCACCCCCCAGCTTGTTTAAGAACAGGCCAGCTCACACAGTTCACCCCATGTCACCCCCCAGCTTGTTTAAGAACAGGCCAGCTCACACAGTTCACCCCATGTCACCCCCCAGCTGGTTACCCAGGATGCGGGCCAGCTCACAGAGCCCCCAGGGCAGACACACGGGCTGGCAGCGTGGCCGGCTCCTCAGCAGTGCCGCGTGGGTCAGGTGGTCCGCAAGGCGCCAGTGAGTAGCCGTGGCACAGGGGTCACAGAAGGCCAGGAGGGCGCCCAGGCCCAGTGGAAGCAGCGAGGGGGTGTGGCACTGCCAACGCGAGTCATCAAACTGCACCTTCATGTCCGCCTGCCTGTCTGGGGAAAGGCTGAGCACCTGCAGAACACTCCCACCAGGAGATAAGAGGGGCTGCAGGGAGAACAGGGAACAGAGACTCATCGGGACGGAGGGAGGGGATATTTAACCATTAAATTTAGGCCATGCACGTACATATTTAAACGTTTTTTGGCACAATATTCTTTTATGAGGTGTTAGTAGGAATGCAATCAAAAATCGTATCTTGTGCCCATCAACCATTCATTTTCTAATGCTTCATCCAATTCAGGGTCGCAGAGGCACATCCTAGAAAGCAAGAGGCACAAGGCAGGTACACCCTGGATGGAACGGCAGTCTGTCACAGCTTGTGTCTATCATACCCAATCTAAATGGTAGTGTATTGTACAGGGTCTCAATGTAGGTGACCAGAAACAAGACTTGTATGCCTTAAATGCTAGTGAACCTTATCGAAAGTTTAAGAGATTGGATCATGTTCAGGCTATAGTTTTCCAGGAGCATGTCTCACTGGCTGGGGGCTGTATTTGGGATCCCTGGCGTTCCTCTTGCTGTCTCCATCAGTACAGGGGTGTCTGCTGAAAAACAGAACCTTCTCCGGGTTCGGACTGGGCCAGGATAGGATCCCCTGCTTATCCACACAGCACAGCACCTGAGTACCCAAAATACAGGGAGACAGTTCTCTAGATTTCAACCACAATGGATGCAAAGCACAATGCTGTATCTCTAGACATTAATTCAAAGTCTTGGACACAGGAAGGTGTAAGTCTGGATAATTCAGTCTAAAAACCTTGAAGCAAACAGAAGGGTAGACACTGAGGGAAGATGGAAGAGGTGGATATTTTGTACTCTGGAGTGGAGAAACATACTGTGACCGAACCCAGGCTATGCAGAAGGCTGGTGGTATGGCACAGAGCTGGTGAAGAACCGCACAGTACCGCGACGTACCTCCTCCAGCAGTCCTGCAGTGCAGAGAGAGCACCATGAGACAGGCATAGCTTCCTGAAGACAAGGATAAAGATCCAGTCTAGGGTTCAAAGTAGTAGCCTCAGTACACCTCAAAAGGCTTGAGTCACCCTGTTCTGTGTCTACTGCATGTGCTCCTTGCAAAGTACCCTCTAGTGCAGTGCGTCTCAAACCATGCTCAGAGACATATTCACATGCTTTTGAATCAGAAGAGATCATGTTGGACCAAGAGCTTCATGCAACTCTTCCCAGCATTGAACCAGCTATCAAACTGTTATCTTCTTTGAAACAGGCTCACATTTCACATTGAAACTCTAGTCCCTAAAAGCAAAGTCGAACATTTCTCATTAGAACTGTAGTTGCAGTTTCAGTTCAAAATCAAGGTTATTTCTGCCGATATTAGTGCAATTATTGTAAAGTCATTTGGTGTGCAGCAGGCTGAAAATGTTCGGGATGCGCTGCTCTGCATGACCAATGGCAAGGAGAATGTCAACAGCTTGTTCATTGTTTTAAATTAGAATTGGCAAATATATCTGTGTGTTTTTCATGTCTTGGGCTTGCAAAGCCCATGACCACGCATAGGGAGAATGAGGAAGTGCAGACAGAGTCCATTGACCCGCCCACCTTCCAGCTACATGTCTGCACTCCATAGTGGAGGTTCAGCCCTGATTGGAGGAGAAGGGTGTCCATCACCAGCTGCACTGCATGAGGATGAGAACTGAGAGAGTCCTGGCTAACTAATCCTCCCTACCCTCAGAGGCACTCAGCCGATTATGCATCACTGCTTCGGGCATCAAAGTCATAGCTGGCTGGTGACATGAGCCAGGCTCCAACCCGTGCTCATAGAGTTGAACCCGGACCTGAGCAGAAGTCTTTACAGTTTGAGCCAAACCTGAGACCCCCGCAGGTGGTTTATTTTAATGTCATCTCCTGTCGCGAGGCAGCGCAGGATAATCGCAAACTTAAACTTGCAGTTACCTACAGTTGCAGCAGAGCGGACCTCGTTTGTAAAGTGATTGGTGTCACACAGCGTTTACCCTGCACTCTTGCAAAAAGGAAAACCAGTTTCCTCACACGGAAAAACGAAACAATTTTTACTCAGATTTTCAGCATCACGCATGATAAAACGGGCAAATTCCATGAATCATTTTCTTCTTCTTAAAGAAAAACAGGTGTAAAATGAACACAGTGGTAAATGTTTTAGAAACATTACCTCCCAGCTGTAGGACTGACACATCAAGACAAGCTGTTAGGACCTGTGAATACTGTGAGGTGTGATGTGTGCCTGAGGTGTAAAACACTCCTTCCTGTTGATGTCTGAACACAGATCAGGGTCTTAATCAGACTCAGGGTGGCTTTTTCTTCAGCACATTTCTTCACCTAACCTTTCCTAATGCTGAAGGCAACCTTGCAGATATTTTCTATGGCGTATCTTAATGGAAATTTTGGAATCATTTACGTTTTTTTTCATGTTTTACCACACACATCCACGCTCCGTCATGCTCTACTAGATTTAACTTTTCTTTTACTCGGACGTGGTTTTATGAAGACGGCGCAGGCTGTTGAGGCCTGTTGTCATAGTGACCCACCTTCCAGTCCCAGGGTGGGGATCCCAGCTGGTTGAGCACCGTGGCCTCGCCATACACACTGACCTGCAACCATAGCAACGGGAAGGCCAGGGGCAGCAGGGGCAGCACCCCGTTCACCTGGAGACGGCAAGAGAGAGCAAAGCACCCCCCCCCCCCCTCAGTTAACCTGTAAACAGGCCAAGGGAACGAAGGATAGAGTATAGGAGAAGAGGGAAACGGAAAGTGTCACATTCCGAAACTCAGTGGAGTAGTCTGTACAGAGAAAACCTTCTGAAGTGATGTGAGCGTACTATCGACAGTGAAGGCGAACTTGAACGAACAAAGGATTGAATAACCCTCATGTGAATAGCTTGTGCGGGCTCACCGGTAGTTGTAGTACTGGGACTGGCCAGGGGCCCACCCCTGGGGCTCCCAGAAGGTAGCGGGTGAGGTTCACTATCACTGACACCACCTGGACAATGCAGACACAGTAGGTTAGCCTGGCAGATGGAGGTAGCATGGTGACAGAGCCTGAGCGTACTGGGCGGTGTACTGGGCCGCCTTCCTCTTACCAGCACCAGCGGTGCGACCCACGTCTCCAGCAGTCTCTGTGCCGTGAAGCGCTCGTTGTCCAGCACTGTGACTGGCCGCTGTGGCCCCATCTCCAGACACTGCCTGAGGGGGAGGCAGGGAGAGCTCAGCTAGTGAGCTGCACACAGCACACAGACTAGCACTGCGGAGCCTGGACTAGACCGAGAGATCCCTGCAAGATCTAGAGACTCACTGCAAAATTCTGACAGCTGGCGTCTTTGTCACCCTGAAGAGTTGTGGGTGGACCAGGTTATGAGGGCGAGGCTTGTGACTATCCAGTGGGGAAGGTGGAGAGGAGAGATGACTGAAAACATCCCCCCGGGAGAGGACCACATGCTCCTCCTCCTGTGACCATGGAGACAGGAGACAGGTCACTACGGAGACCAGCAGCACTGCAGACAGTGGCTCAACACATGTCAATAATTTACTTTTCATCAATTCGGATCTTGCAGGTGCTGCTTTAACAAAATCATAATAGTTTCTATTTATGTTTTCCATACCAGTCTTGCACATGAAAGAATCCTCACTTTGGATTAAGGCCCCAGAAGCTTAGATCACATAATTTTTTGTAATAATTAGCATACAGATTGATGGAGAGTCAAAACCAAAACCAGCCAGGTGGTGGCCTGATCAAAAACTTGGGCCTGATAGTGAAGGAAAGGTGGGAACCACAATGAAACGCAGTCAAGAGAGGTGAGGTGAGCCCCTTTTACCTGAATGCCCCTGAGAGCCGTAGGAGCTTCGGCCCCTGGCCGCAGAGCGATGATGTCACCTTCCACCAGCAGGCTGACTGGCAGGTTGACAAGATGACCGTCACGGTATGTCCACTGCAGAGAAATGGCCTGAGATGGCAGGGAGAATAGGGTCATGTAGCTTTCTGTCCAGTCAGGCTGAGTGCGGCTCAGGAGACCTGGAATAGCAACGAGAACTGTTTGAGTTTTGCAAAGATGACCACCTGTGAACAAAGGCCATCTGTTAATTTGCAGAAGGCTTTGCTCAAGTGTTGGATGAGGGGGAAAAGCATGTAAACATTTTCAGAGCTGCAAGCGAAGGAAAAATGTGCCTGGAACACCTAAAATAGAAAAAAGCTGAAGCTGAATAAAAATGAGAGGAAATACATGGCTATTTTTACAATGCCCAAGAACCTTTTGTTTTGCAGAGCATTATTTCTCATTTAACACAGCCCATGAGTCAGCCAAAATTAGGTCATTTCCTTTACATCTAAATACTGCCCCTACAGAGAGCACACTGAGCGACATTTACAAACCATTCCCTTATCAAAAACAATGCACTGAAAAAATCTCGTCTAGAGATATGGAGAAAGAGCCATAAAACCTCCTGACCAAGCAAAAACATTTAGTTTAACCCATGTTAAATGCAAAAAAAGAGCAATAATAATTACTTGTGGTGACACAAAATGAAGCGCATTATGAAATAAGCATCCGACTTCGCCTTTTTGAATTTGTCAGTGTGGAATTTGAACTGGAATCAGTTTAAGAATTCAATACCACAATTTCCCTCATTTAACGAATGGTGGAAAGAGAATTCAAATAGAAAAGGGACATTGAACATTCCTTCATTTGGATCTGGAACTAGCGTCAAAAGTTCTAACTGGTTTTCTTGGAAAATCATTAAAATCAATTTGATTTTCAACACTTTCTTAAAGACTGCAGGAGATTTAAATTCTCATTTGAACTGGGAAAACCCATCAGAGCCGGCAGTATCTGAAACTGAAATAGCAGAAATGGCAAACAACTGCTTCCTTATTCAGTCTGTCGGGGGAAGTACCAGGGAAATGCCTGTATTGATCAAGTCAATCAGTGACCATAATATATTCTTTGAAGTATACTTTGAAACTTCGAGACAGTAGACATGAGGAAGCAATAAAAGAGGCATCACATTGGGATCGTAGCCAGCAGCCATATCACCCTGCAGCTCTCAACTGGCAGCCCAATGAAGCTACAGTAAGTAGGGTTGAGCCTGGTCAGTAGTTGGATGAGAGACCTTCTGGGAAGCAATGGTTGCTGCTGGAAGAGGTGTTAGTTGGGCCCGTGGGGGGGGCGCCCACCCTGCGGTCTGTGTGGGTCCTAATGCCCTGGCATAGTGACGGGGACACTATACTGTAGTGGGCATCATCTTTTGGATGAGACGTTAAACCAAGGTCCTGACTCTTAGGGGTCATTAAATATCCCCGGGCATTTCTCGCTAAGAGTAGGGAGTTATCCCAGTGTCCAGGCCAAATTCCCTCCATCTGCCTTTACTGCGGCCTCCCAATTGTCCCCATGTATGATCGGCTTGCACTTGCCCTGTGATGGACTGGCGTCCCATCCAGAGTGTAACCTGCCTTGTGTTCGTTGCTTGCCGGGTAGGCTCCAGCTTCCCGCGACACTATGTGGTATAAAGCGGTTTGATGAGCAGCCACAGAACACAGGGCACTTCAAGAACTAATAATAACAATAATAATAATAATAACATTACTTTATTAACCCTTTACAATTTCTTGCATTAGGAATGATCTTTTCACACACCCCAGCTTACTCTCCATGAGACACACAGACAGGGAGAGAGAAGCCTGGGGTCAGAGCGCAGGGTCTGCCATTGTATAGCACCCCTGGAGCAGTTGGGGTTAAGGGCCTTGCTCAGGAGCCCAACGGAGTAGGATTCCTCTGCCGGCTGCGGGATTTGAACCGGCAACCTTCCAGCCACAGGCACAGATCCTTAGCCACAGAGCTTCCGCTCCGCCCCCTAAACTAGGGCTGGACTGCTCACTGACAGACCTGGGGAGTGGATGCTGAAATCACCCTTTTAATAACCCAGTTACCCCTTGTATCCAGGTCTGAAGAAGGTGACAAACTTGCAGGTCTGTTTTTTTGCAGTGGTGAAAATGGGAGCGATCGGCTCAGAGCGCCGGTATTGAAAAGGCTAGTCTGGGCTTCGGGGAGCTCAGGGCTGCGTGGCATTGACAGCTGGCACCTCACCATGGATGGTTTGCAAGAGGGCCTGCACCCGGCGTGGCATCTCCTGGGTCCTCAGGTGCTGCTGCCATGCCAGGGCCGCCAGACTGACCATCAGGAGGAGCAGCAGGGCACCACCGCTGAGCAGTGCCACCTGGTGGCTGCAAAGACAATGATGGCAAAAAACAAGGTATATTATCCCACCATACAATTAATAATAATAATTCCTTACACTTACAGAGCGCATTTCTGGACACTCCACTCAAAGCGCTTTACAGGTGATGGGGATCCCCTCCACCACCACCAATGTGCAGCCCCACCTAGATGATGCGATGGCAGCCATAGTGCGCCAGAACGCTCACCACACACCAGCTATCAGTGGGAAGGAGAGCAGAGTAATGAAGCCAATTTATAGGACGCCAGGGTAACACCCCTACTCTTTTTGAGAAACACCCTGGGATTTTTAATGACCACAGAGAGTCAGGACCTCGGTTTTACGTCTCCATCCGAAGTACAATTGAAGAATTCTCCTGCAGGTGCCATATCTAATTTTAGACCGGCTCTCTAATGCTCTCTAATGTTATCCAGGCTTGATAACTGGTGACATGTTATTTGTGTTATTTGAAGTGGCTTCTACTGTTCGGATGTTTCAATAAATGCCACTAGTAATTTTGACTACACAATAACAATTTTCTATTATGGCTAAGATTGTTTGAAGAGTAAACATTTATTTTCATCTTGATGTGAAGATGAATAATCCCGTTTTCCCCATGAGATTTCAACTTATTATAGGATAGTCCTAAACTACAGTGCATTGTTTCCTTGTTGGGTAAGGAATACAAGGTCATTATACTCTGATTTTTAAGAATGACTTCATCCAGGGCATCATGACCTCTGCCAAAGGCAATTCACAATATCTAGAGCAGATTAGCACACAGCCAGTTTACCTTTAATATAACAGTGTGAGAAACCACAGTGAGAATAATGTCATGGTAGCTGGTAGCTAGTGACTAATAGTGGTAGCTAGTGACTAATAGTGTGTGACCCCAGTGCTCATAGGCCACATCACCACATGGATTAATTCTATATGCCTAGAGTGGGCACAATAGAGCATCCTATTCAATGCATTGCAAGAATGGGATCCCATCAGAAACTTTAGTTTCAAAACTAGAACACACCCTGGAGCTGGTGCCCTGTAACAGGATCTTTAAAATAAGTGATCCCAGGAAGGCAGACCCACAATCAGTAAGGTATTTTGTGAGTGATTGCACTTTATAGTGCAAAGGCAAACTAATCAAACAAAAACCTAGCTCTTTATCGAACAGCTATATAGATGTCTTACTGTCATAGAGAAAGGTCTTAGCAGGAAGTAATCTGACCTTTAATTAGGAAAACATTTACAAACACAGATCACTAAAAAAACACAGCATGCAAACAAATAAGAGAAATGTTTCCCATTATCACATCTGTTCAGGTTCATGTCTGTGCTAATGCTCAACGTTGTTCTGTACTGTGTGACGCACAGGCTAATGATGTTCTTCAAATATTTGAATATTTCATGAATAAGTCTGTCACGTATTCATAAACGCTGCAGGACACACCAGTAAAGAGTAGATGGATTTTCCATACCTACGTGTTCCCCACTGGAAGAGAGTTAACGAAGACCCATACCTCAAACCCATATTTAAAATATGAGTGGGCACATATACTTGAAGACATTTGAAAGTCGTATATGTAAGAATATATATATATATGAATAGTTCTGGTACGTGTCTGGTAAATACATTTTTAGGGTTATCAATTAATCTCAGTTGTCTTCTGTAATTAATTCAGATGGTTAATGTGCAGTTATTGGAGATGAACTCCACTCCCTCTTGTCTGTTGGTTTCTGTCTTGGGCACATATTCTGCTCCATCAGGCCTCTCTCTGTGTAATCTCTCTCGGCTGCGTACCTGGGTGGAGTTGGGGTGCTGTGGCAGGCCAGCAGTGCCAGCGCAGACAGCAGTGTGAGCAGGGCACCAGGCCAGTGCAGGCTGGACCAGCGCATGCTGTGGTGCAGGAAACTCTGTTTCCACAGAGCCTGGGGGAGGACACACACACACTGTCAAAGACCAGACCACAACACCACTGAATGTATACTTGACCTCCAGACTTCATCAGTCCCAGAATACATTCATTCCAGAATTCATCAGTTCCAGAATGAATTAATTCCAGACTTCATCAGTTCCAGAATGAATT